CCATCTCCACCTCCACCTCCACCTCGACCGCGCCCTCCAAAACAGCCACCACAACCACCTAGTCCTCCTCTCCCTCTAGAACTCAAACTGGCCCTTAAAGTAATCAAAAAGTTCAAAAAAACAATAACTTATGACCCCTTACACATTACTCGTACCTGGACAGGCAAGAATATTTGTAGAGACAAGTCTAAATACAAGGGCTTCGTGTGTGATACTACAATCAATGACAAAAAGCTTAGAGTTGCAGGTGTCAATTTCAATGGCTACAATTTTGATGGCAAACCGCTGAACCTGAAAAGTTTCATAGAAGATCTTAAAGATTTGATCGTATTCCATGTAAACACCAACAACTTTACAGGCCAAGTCCCCTTGGGAATCTCCAAGGTCCCGTCTTTATATGAACTCGATTTGAGTAACAATGAGCTCATTGGAGAGTTCCCAAAAGCAATACTTGCTGCTACGAACCTGACATTCTTGGATGTTAGGTTTAACAAGCTCACAGGAAATCTTCCACCTCAGGTATTCACATTAGACCTCGATGTTCTCTACCTCAACAACAATGCATTTGTCGGGAATATACCAGAAAACCTAGGCAAAACTACCGCGCTCTATCTCACCTTAGCGAACAACTACTTCACCGGGCCAATCCCAAAAAGCATCGGCCAAACTTCCAACACATTGCTTGAAGTACTACTGCTAAACAACCAGCTCTCCGGTTGCCTTCCATATGAGATCGGATTGTTGAAAAAAGCCACTATTTTTGATGCCAGCATGAACCATTTAACAGGCCCAATACCACACTCCTTCGGATGCCTGGAAAAACTGAAAATACTGAACATTTCCTATAACGAGTTTTACGGGGCGGTACCAGAAACTTTGTGCAAACTCAGCAACCTCCGAGAACTGACCTTGAAATTCAACTACTTCACACAAGTTGGACCAGAATGCAGGAAGTTGATCAAGAAGAATGTACTTGATATAAGCATGAATTGCATTTTAGATCTTCCATCACAGAAGAGTCAAGCGGAATGCGCAAAGTTCTTTTCGAAGCAACATTCTTGCCCGGATCAGAAGTCATTGAATTATGTGCCCTGCAAAAACCAGTATTCTGCTTCCTTGAAAAAACCAGCAGCTCACGGGCATCATTCAAGGACTCATTCGCGTTCTTATGCTGCTCTTCATAAGCATCATGCTTGACACAGCCACCAATAGCTCGATTTATCTTAGTATCAATAAAGCATGGAACACATTCATGTTTCCAAGGAGGTATAAGTTATTACTGCTGCTTCATCCATCACGAGCCTGGTGCATGGACTCATGTATAGACTATTTAATCAATTCAAGATCAACTGTTAATGTTTCAAATTATGTAAGTTAATTGGAGTAATGTATTAAGAAAATTATTGTGTTCTCTTGATAACGTTTATCTATGTGGGTGTAGTAATGTCAGAAGTCAAAACTAAATAAGATAGCAGAAGAAGAATATCGTTGGATCTCACATAAAGAAACAACCTTAAAGAGGCTCTATCTTCCTTTCTTTTTGTTATTGTGGCTTCACTTGTTCGTCTTCTTTTAGTAAATGGAACACCAATTGAATATAAATTAAAATTTCTTAAATATTTTGTACATGGAAGAGATGATTGTAGATAAATTACCATCTCTTTAGTCTTTTCCACGGTCCTATTTATTTCCTTGTCTGAGTCTTTTTCTGGTTCGTGAGCTCTTATCCAAATAACGTTATGATGGGAGGAACTGCAAAAGAATTTTAATGAAGATTTAAAATCCATATCGGTAAAAAAAAATTGCAATTCTATAATGTTAGGAACGCTGGACTAAAAAACTAATGGCAACTTGTAAGAAACATTATTTTTTGTTGCGGTCGAATCTTTTCGCATGAAAAATGCTACAGGAGTTTCCCAAAATAGGCTTATAGCTGTGACACTACTCGAGAATTGAGCTGTGATTGAACATCACCAAAAAAAAAAAAGAACATGTAGAACTTACGCCGTAAAATTGGAACAAATTAATCTCGGGAATGTTTGTAAAAAGATATAATTTTCTTGATAGTCTCCATTTTAAGTTTTTGTAACCAAAAGAAAGAAAATATTTAACAACCAAATGAAAACAAATCATCCTGATTACCAAACCAGATAAACATAAACATTAGCGTACTAATAATAGAATTTTTCCAACTAGATTGTATGCATGGGATGCAGAAATTGCCATTATAACACAACCCAAGCAGGAGCCAAGAGGGAAAATAAAATAATTTCATCGAAGAACCTACAAGACGAAATTGGTCAGGACTTAACTGACCAAATGCATTCCATATAATGGAGCTTGGGAATGAATGATTTTCTCACAATATATTATTCACAGAATAGGACAGATATATATACAATGCTGGTGCTAAACATATAAAGAAACAGAATAATTCAAGTATCTAATTATCCTAATTTAGAAGATTACAAGAATAATCTAGAAAGTAAAGAATGAATAAAATCAAATCCGGAGATGTCCTATTAGGCCCCCTCAAGATGGTGGTCCAGAGGAGACACCAGTCTTGAAGACTAAGTCACGCAGCCGAGTCCGAGAAAGAGGCTTTGTAAGAGCATCGGCAAGCTGATCAGAGGAAGAGACATGGGACACGCGAAGTAAAGAGCGTTGAACAAGATCCCGGATGAAATGATAATCAATGGAGAAGTGTTTCATGCGAGAGTGAAAAATAGGATTGGCACAAAGATAAGCGGAACTAATGTTGTCACTGTAAATGACCGGCGGCGAGGAAAGTAAGACCTCGAGTTCATCAAGTAAAGATTGAACCCACTGGAGTTCCAATGCAGCTAAGGCAATTGCTCTATATATAGGAACGGGCCACAGAGCGTTCCTTCTTCGAGCTCCAGGAGATGGGATTAGGTCCAAGAAAGAGAACATAGGCCCCTGTAGACGTGCGATCATTAGAGTTTCCAGCCTAGTCAGCGTCGATGAAGCAGTGTAAGGATAGAGAAGAGTTTGCACGAAGGCAAAGTCCAAGATCACGAGTACAGTTTAGATAGCGGAGTAGACGCTTGGCAGCACTACAATGATGTTCAGACGAAGCATGCATAAATTGTGAGAGTTTATTAACCTCGAAAGCAATGTCTGGGCGTGTGATAAGGAGATACTGGAGGCTCCCAACAACCTGTCGATACAAAGTAGCGTTCGTAAGGGGAGCTATCATAGAGGGAAAGTGTGGTACCAACTGCAAGAGGTGTTTGAACCGGTTCAGAAGAAAGCATGTTGTGCCGAGCAAGTAAATTCACAATGTACTTCCGTTGGGAAAGGAAGCATGAGGGTTGGCATGAGAGAACTTCGACACCGAGAAAGTAGGATAGGGACCCCAAGTCTTTGATGGAGAACCGACAGCCACTGATTAATGAAGCGAGAAACAAAGGCAGGATCGCTACCCGTAAGAATCAAGTTATCAACATACACCAAGAAGTAGGCAATAACACCATCGCCGTTGAACACAAAGATGGAAGTGTCCGACTGGGCATGAACAAAGCCCAACTCAAACAAAAAGTTACGAAGTTCTTGGTACCATGCCCAAGGCGCTTACTTAAGACCGTAGATAGCTTTCTTGAGTTTACAGATATAAAAGGGAAAATTGGCACCAATAAAGCTAAGGGACTGTGCCATATTGACCTTTTCATCAAGATGACCATGAAGACGTCAAGTTGCCGAAGAGGCCAACCACTTGACAGTGCTAGATTTAGAACAAGACGAACAGTAGTGGGCTTTACGACAGGGCTAAAAGTATCATAGTAATCAAGGCCAGGTCGTTTGTGAAAACCCTTGGCAACAAGGCGAGCTTTGTATTTGTCAATAGATCCATCGGGATTGCGCTTGATTCGAAACACCCATTTACAACCAACTAGAAGGAATAAGATCCCATATACCATTTCGAAGGAGAGCATCAAACTCAGCGGACATGGCAAAGCGCCATGTGGATCAGTAAGAGCTTGGGTTACATTGGTGGGCTCAATGTCGGTAGGTGGATGAGAAGAGATAAGGCAATACTTGGGCTTCAGTTTGTGGACGTGATTTTTTTAGCATATGAGCATGGGGTGGCCATTGGCGAAACGACGGTGATGGGTAAGATGGAAGTAACCTGGGGAGAGAAAGAGACGGAGAAAGAGTTCGACAGTGAGGGATCATCATTGGAGGTCGCGAGCAAGACCGAGGATGGGGGTTCATCATTGAGCAAGGGAGCCGAACTGACTGCACCACCACGTGAGGTAAACGGGACTTTAAAGAAAAGAAAGGAAGATGCCAAAGGATTTGAGTGAGGGACATATGGGGTGGGCATGGAAAATGGGAAAACGTCTTCAACAAACTCAACATGACGAGAATTAAATATTTTGGAAGAAGATGGATCATAGCAGAGATAGGCACTCCGTGTTAAGGAGTAGCCTAAAAAGACACTGGCACTAGACCGAGGTTATAATTTGTGAGAGGTTTAAGGACGTAGCCATGGGTAGCACTTACAGCCAAAGACACAAAGCTTTTGAAAGTTAGGGGAATGACCAAAATTTTTTTTCAAATTAAGACATCATGGAGAGGTTGGATTTGGGCATTCGATTGATGAGATAGGTAGCGGTGGCAAAAGCAAAGGGCCAGAAATGGAGAGGGACAGATGCATGATAGAGGAGGGTGAGATCAGTATTGATAATATGACGGTGACAGCGTTCCCAAAAACCATTGTGTTTCGGGGTATGTGGTGGTGTGGTGAGATGTGTAATCCCACTAGATGCAAGAAAGGAACGAAGTGCAATATATTCCCTCCATTATTTGTGTATAAGGTAACTATTTTAGCTTTGAAGTAGTTTTCTACAAGAGATTTGAATTTGACAAAAGTGTCAAGAACGTCGACCTTTCGCGTGAGAGGATAAAACCATATGTACCTAGTAAAGTGGTCAACAAAGACAACGTAGTACTTAAGTCCGTCAACAGGGAGAATTGGAGAAGACCACACATCAGAAAAAATCAATTCAAAAGGTGTTGAAGATGAAAGTGTAGATTCATAAAATGGAAGATTATGACTTTTATTAATTTTGTAGAAATTACAAGAAAATGTGATAAAAGATGGGAAGATAAAGAAAAAACATTAGACGAGACTAAATGCTGAACAATTTTGCAGGATGGGTGATCAAGACGAGAGTACCACAAGGTCATGTAAGGATTGGCAGATGTAAGAGTGTGTAGTAGAGCTAACGAGTCCGCCGTGACCGGCCATTATAAACATCGTCCTTATGTGGTCCTTGGTGAAAAAGGGCCCTCATTTGACAATCCTTCACCTGAAAGCCAGACGTGGAAAAGATAACATCAACATGATTAGTGTGACATAATTGGGAAACTGAGATAAGATTTTTTGCCACAGTTGGAACACAAAGTGTATGTGGGAAGGACGAGGAGGCGGAGGCGGGTAGGTTGAGAAAGCCAGAATGAGTAATGATCAAGCCTTTACCATTACTGACATTGTCATCAAAACCATCATAAGGTGAGTGAAGAGAAAGGTTCGTAAGATCGGTAGTGACGTGATGATAAGCACCCCAAGTCTAGGATCCATTCAAACGGTGTTGGAGATGCCGTTGGATGAATGGTCGTGTGAGCACTAGGTGCCTTGTATGCTGGGCAAGGCAGGGGATGTGGGCAATGGAAGTCCACGGTACATGCTTGAAAATTGAACAACGTTTCGCCGAGTGTCCATGTTGCTCACATAACTGGCAGCCGTCGAGCTACGAGCGCGGCCTAGATTACCGGCAGAAAAGGGAGGTCGAGGTGTGAAAGAGGCATGCGGAGATCGAGCAGGATGACCGCGAGATGGGTTAAATGAACGTGGTAAACTACGGGGTGGCTGGGGCAGCAAAGTGTGGCTCTGCGTAGAAGACCGAGTAGCAGGAAAATTTGTGGCAGGAGTAGGAGATGATAAACCTATTTTGGCCGCCAGTTGTGCCTCATGGTTGAGAAGTTTCTCGGGAGCTCATCAAAGGAGATGGATGTTTCTCGCGCTTGAATAGCATTGGAGAGTTCTTTATAGTTTTCGCCGAGGCCGCTAGGAATTTTGATGACAATATGTTCAGAATCAATCGAGACATTCATAAGAGCTAGTGCATCGACAGTGGTTTTTATACTTTGCATAAATTCAGTGATAGATT